TTGCTTTTGTAATAGGGAAAAAATTATTTTTCCTCTAAAGAGTAGATACACCTTGTGAGGAGCAGACCTGTGACTACATTAATCAAGTAGTGACTTGCTTAACCACCAGTGGCAGAAATCAGAAATGGAAACTTAAATGGAGTTTTTATATCAATGGCAGCCACGTTGGAGCCTGAGAGATTTAAGAAAGGGTAAAAGGAGGTTTCAAGCTGTGTTCAAAAGAGTGGTCACTAGCCACAGGTGGCTATTGAGCGTTTTTTTTGTTTGTTTGTTTAATTTTTTGTTTATTGTGGTAACATTGGTTTATAACATTGTATAAATTTGAGGTGTACATCATTATACTTCTATTTCTGCATAGATTACATCATGTTCACCACCCAGATACTAATTACAACCCATCACCACACACATGTGCCGAATTATCCCTTTCACCCTCCTCCCTCCCCTCTTCCCCTCTGGTAACCACCAGTCCAATCTCTATGTGTTTGTTTATTGTTGTTATTATCTACCACTTAATGAAGGAAATCATATGGTATTTGACTTTCTCCCTCTGACTTATTTCACTTTGCATAATGCCCTCAATGTCCATCCATGTTGTCACAAATGCCTGGATTTCATCGTTTCTTATGGCTGAGTAGTATTCCATTGTGTATATATACCACATCTTCTTTATCCATTCGTCCCTTGATGGGCACTTAGGTTGCTTCCAAGTCTTGGCTATTGTGAATAACGCTGCAATGAACACAGGGGTGCATGTATCTTTATGCATTGGTGTTTTCAAGTTCTTTGGATAAATACCCAGCAGTGGAATAGCTGGATCATATGGTAGTTCTATCCTTGATTCTTTGAGGAATCTCCATACTGTTTTCCATAGAGGCTGCACCAGTTTGCACTCCCACCAGCAGTGTATGAGAGTTCCCTTCTCTCCACATCCTCTCCAACACATGTTGTTTCCTGTCTTGTTAATTATAGCCATTCTGACTGGCGTGAGGTGATATCTCATTGTAGTTTTAATTTGCATTTCCCTGATAGTTAATGATTTTGACCATCTTTTCATGTGTCTGTTGGCCATCTGTCTATCTTCTTTGGAGAAATGTCTGTTCAGGTCTTTTGCCCATTTTTTAATTGGGTTGTTAGTTTTTTTGTTGTTGAGATGCATGAGTTCTTTATATATTTTGGAGATTAAGCCTTTATCAAATGTATGGTTTGCAAATATCTTCTCCCAATTGTTAGGTTGTCTTTTCATTTTGTTGATGGTTTCCTTTGTATTGAGCATTTGAAATGTGGCTAGCTCACACTGCGATGTACTTTAAGCGTAAAATACACACAAGACTTCAAAGATTTAGTATTAAAAATGTAAAATATCTTATTAATAATTTTTAATATTACATCTTGAAATGATAATATTTTGGATATATCAAGTACAGTAAAATATATTAAAATAATTTCTCCTGTTTCTTTTATACAGTGCTGATAGTGGGAAGCATAAGTTCTCTGAAATACCTCCCAAAAGTAAAAGCAATATGAAAAAGTAATTGCCTCACAGGATACCTGCTAACATCACAGTTCTACTTGGGGCCTTCATAGGACAACCTCTGAAAAGGGCAGTGGTTCACAAATGAGCATGTCAAATGAGCTCTGGGCACTGTAAGGCAAAATGGAACCCACACTACTTAATTGGTGTATGTGTCAATCTATATATTTGAAATCTATCAACTCAGGGCAAGTTAAGGAAACACCACATTGTTGTAGAAAGCCATTAACATCTTCCCTGGGAAAAGCCCTCAAGCCTGTCATAGGGTGCTGCACAGAAACTGCTCCACTGCACCTACACAGAAAATGTTGACTTCAGTTGAACTGAGCATTTGACAGAAGGATTCTGACCCATTCCCAAGGGAAAAAATCAGTGACTTGGGAAAGTGCCTATAAGGAAAAATGGTTTACTCTCAATGACATTTATCATTTTGTCTTTGGTTAGTTTGTGTCTTAATTTTTAATACTGGTCAGTGGCCAAATTCAAGATGCAGTCAGTGGTTACTCCAACCTGAGATGTTTATATGGAAAAGCACCAATTGGTTTACAATTCATACAAATCAATCTAAACCTGGGTAAACTCTTTTATAATAACATTAGATAATGTGTACAGAATTTCAGAGAACACTAAATACATAGTTATTTCATCTTCTCAGCAGTCTAGGAGAGTTTTTTTCTATCGCAATTAACAACGGAGAGAAACTTGGGCTCCAAACTAATTCTAAAGTCTCTATCAGGAACAATTTTTGTTGGACATAATAAGATACAACCAATAAGGTGACTGCTGCCTGGATACTGCTCCCCAAGTCCCCTCATTCTCAGGTTTCAGAAATTCCTCCTTGCAGAATGCCATCTGATGCCTTACTAGGAAGGTGGCCACAATGAGTCGTAATCAGTTTTGGTTACTTAGCACCACGCTTCTCAAACTACACTCTCTGGAACTATGAAATTGTCTACATTTTCCAGAAGCTTTAAGAGAAAATTTTTCACATGTAGTAGGACATGCAGAACATAAAATGTAGATGGATTTTTGAGATGAAGTATGAAACACCAAGAAATTTTAGCTCGCCCCAAATCTCCAGATCTCGAGGGGTGCAGCTAGCTAGCGTTTGCCTCCATAGGCAGCCTGAAAAGCCTTGCCCAGGAGTAAACGAAGAATCTAGCAGCAGACGGTCACAGGCATTTGGCGGACAAAGCACGAGGTAAAGGGTAGCCCTGGGGGAAGTGGGGTGAAAACCTCCCAAAGACAGATGTCACTTATGTTATCATCTTCCTTGGTGTTAGACAAATGTCAACAACTTAGTTCAGAGTCTGCCACTAGGTACTGCACTATCAGAGATGAGTCCTAGTTTCTGCTCTCCAAAAGCTCAGTTGAGTTGAGAAACAGACTATTAAATCAAGGCGTGGACGTATGTGACAAGTGTTTTGGGAAATCCAAAGAGGATCAATTTTGTCTGGGGAAGACAAGAAACACTGTAGGAAATAGTGATATTTGACCTGGGACTGTAGCGATGAATTAACTAGCCAGGGTCAACTACACGGCAAGCAAAGGTGGGACAATATTCCTATCGCTGTTGTCACTGTCGGCAATGTCCATTCAACTCAATTTGGTAAGATGGGGCAAATTCAGAGCTGGGACACAGACAGGAATCATCACAGGAACTGAATCAACTGTCCAAAGCATAGCAACCAGAGGTCACTTCTCCACCTCTGCTTCTGGACTGGAGTATTCTTCAAATCTCTTTCCTTTCCTGGGGAAATATGAAAGCTCCCTAATTTGGCCAACACCCTGCATCATCCCTGAGGCTTTCCCAGATTTGCTAAAGAACAACAGTCACTGCTTAAGGAAATTTAAGGGCTGTGAAAATATTTTTCCTTCTCTATAATAAACATTATAAATGACAAAACTTAGTGCAGCTTAGAGAATTTTTTTTCTCTTAAAATGCCAGATGTGCTCTGCAATTAGCATTTCCCTTAAACACAATTTCTTTGAAGACTGTTAGCACAATTGGCCATGTCACTGTGGCTTCTACTCTTTAAAGTTTCATGTGCTGTAAAGGGGGTCTTTTTAAGAGAGCAGTGGGCAAGGGAAGGGACTTCCCACAGAGCAGTGGCGAAAACGATCAATAAGCTCACCAAGATGGGAAACCCAAGATCATAAAATTTCTTCTTTGCAGGAGGAGGAGGGGAGCTATCTTCTCCATGTTTTGCAAAACCTCCATATCACTGCCAAGTTCTAAATCTAAAACTTTGAAATTACATTGAAGTTATGTTCTGTCCCACCTCATCCTTATAGTCTCACAGCAAACAGATAAGCAGCAAAACCTTAATTCATGAAGACTGTAACAGAGGTACTAAATTTTAAGATTTTTTCCAAACACTTCCAATTTTATAATTATACTTCTTTCATTACACAAAATAGAATTTTAATAACCACGTATTCCTGAGCAAATAATGTAAATTCCCAGTGCCTCAGTTTCATCATTTGTAATAATTGGGGTGAGAAGACATAATACCAGGACTGTTGTGAGGATTGAATGCATAAAAACGTATAAATCATCTAGAATAATATTGCCTGTGACACAGACAGGGCTAAGTAAATGGAAGCTACTGTTATGTGATGGAAAAACATTGGACATAGTAAGGTACATGATAAGGGAAGGTGTTTCTTTCCACTGACGACTGCGTGCTTTAGCAAAAAAAAGTTGAAAGTTTCTCTTCTTTACAGAAGTGCAGTTAGACATTTGTCTTGAGTCATATCTTTCTGGGTCACAGTTGAAAGTTGACACCATTTGTATGTTTCAAGCCAGGTGGAGATGAGCCAGGTTGAAGATCCCCCTTCTCCACTATGTTTGATTGGATGACAGAGACCAAACAAGGCTCTAAGGATGAACTATCCAACTTGAAGAAAAGATGGATTCTGGATCCACTGGAGTAGCTGGGATTTCCATTTCTGATAGTGGCTAATATTATCACTCTACTCACATTCGGCATCCCTGAGACAGAAGCATCTTGGAAGGGAGAAAGCATCCCGGCTCCATGGGGAGGCTGTGTACCATGCACATAACAATTGAGAGCAGCAGTGAAGTAAGTTCACTGTAGCCAGCCCAGCCCAGGGTGAGTGGAGCCACAGGGGGAGTTGCCTGAATTTGAAATTTTAGGGCCTGAACAAGGGCATCTTCAAAGCAAACCAATGGACTAAAGAATAAAGCTGCTCACATTCTTCTGCCCCTTCTCTCAAGGTTAAGACTTGGGGTCCTGGTACAGCTTAAATAGTGCAGGACCCTCCAATGATTTATACAGAACCCTTCTTGCTGCCCTTTACAAGTGAGGGCTCCAAATAATATGACATTTTTCTGCCCCAAGTAGTATGAAGATATCCTTATCTATTACCTATAGAACTAAATATTATTCAATTTGTGTTGTTTTGAAAGATGTTTTGTACAAATAAATGCTTTGTCAGATCATATGTCATCAAAAGTATACTTTATTATAACGCACTAGCATCACTTTGAAGCACGTACATGATGAGACAGCAGATACTTCAAGAAGGTTTTAATGCCACATTTACATACCTCAGTGCTGAGCTTATAATGGCACCATTTGCTCCATGAGTGAAATGCACAATTTCAAAGAAACCTCCACATGACAGAACCCACCTCTCCCGTACTTGACCACAAGAGCACATTTGCCCTCCCCATCAAGAGACAGCCAAACATTATATCATGAGGCCCTTGTTCTCAGTGTCCCTAGTTGGTGTCCATTCATCTTCAATGTGAAAATCCTCCTGGAATGAGACCTGGGAACAACGGCAGAGTTGTTAATAAATTAAAGCACATCTATGTGGTAGATCATTAAAATTGATGTTGTAGAAGAGTATAAGCTCAGAAAAATTAAAAGAAAAAATCTATGACAGAATTGTACCAAGTGATCCCATTTCTGGAAAAATAAAAATAACGTGTACATGGGCAAACACTCTGAGGATAGCCACTAAAATGTTACCAGCAAGTTGACTCAGGACAGCTGGATTACAGATGATTCCAATCTTTCTCTATTTGTTTATCTGTATTTTCTGGATTTACTAAAATGAAGATGCATTACATCTACAGTGGAACCCCTCCCCCTCAAGAAATAGATACTTCTGGTGAGAGACAACTAAAGCTACTTCAAGTGGATATAAATTTGAGTAATCAATAGCTGAAGACACCAGGAGGGAACTTTCAAATGGAGTTAGTGTAGTAAAAGTTGCCACTTCAGAATCTGGGTACTGAGACAGGACAAATTTGGGTAAAAGAAGAAGGCGTTCGACACCTGGGAAAGTAGATGAGTTCACTGAAGGCCCAAGAAAAAGTCTAAGGCTGGAGCCTGACGACAGTACAGCTTTCCCTGCTACCCTTATATGTCAAACGCTGGGCCCCTTGCCAGGCAAAAAGAGACCCACACTACTATACTGGTATATGGATATATAAAGCCATACAACTAGGGACTTGATAGGAAAGTAATGCACTTATGTAGAAAGGAGAAAACCAGGAACCATGAGCCCATGGGAGAAGCAATGAGGCCTGGCCCAGGGCAGTGCACGGGAACTGGCTCAGGAGGAACTCAGCTGTGTGGAACTGAGCATTGGACAGATACGTCCCTGCTTATTCTCAAGGAATAAAATCAGTGTCCCTGGAGGTGTGCACTTTAGGAGAAATGTGCACTTGGGGAGGGAGTTTACAATGAATGACATGTTTTGATTTTGGTTATTTTGCTTCTTGACCTTTAAAGGAAGTCAGTGTCATAATAGGCAGTCAATGGTTACCCCAGAGAGGTTTGTTTAGAAAAACACAAACCAGTTACAACTGATTTAAATGAAGCTAAACCAGAGAAAGCTCGTTGACTCATCTCCAAATTTCAAATCTGTTTTCAGGTCAGAGGAAAAGAAAAGGGTGGAAGCTTTCCCAGTTCTCAGTTTCATTAGTTTCATACTTCTTGTCTCTCTCTCTCTTCCTCTGTAAAACATTCTGGCCCTCCTCACTCACAAGGTTTTGAACTCTTGAAGAGATATTAAATCAAGATTTAAATAAAGATTAATAAAACATTGTTTTATACCCAAATTAAAATTGAACACTGCTTTAAAAACTGCTATAAATCTTGGAGTCCACTAAAAGGGTGTCAAATGGGACCTTTCATTCATATCTTACTTCTATCAGTCTTTGTAGCAAGCTAGGAGACCTGGGGAAGAGGACCAGATGGTAAAGGGAGGGAGCTGAGAAAGAACTCAATGTACTAGAAGAACGGCATGGTACAGAGTGAAGAGCCAGATTCTGGCTCCACCACTGTACGAATATCTCACATAAATTACTTAACCACATGTAATCCCTTCAGCAACTCTATGAGGAAGCTACCATTATCATCCCTATTTTACGGACAAGAAGACAGGCCCAGAGGATAAAACCCTTAGAACAATGTCTGGAATATAATTACTGCTATAGAAGTGTCAGTTAAATGCACTTAAAGGGAGAACTCAATGCCTAGCCAATCAAGACTATACCTTGTCTATTTCCAAAGAACAAAGTCGCAGCGAGCGCTGCTTCCAAATCAAGGAGCCAAGTCTTCTAATCTCTGAGAAATCAAGCATAGTTACCACCAATTAATTTCCAGACTAATAATGAAATTGACATCCTCAGCTGCTTCTTCATACCACATGTTTTAATAACCACATTCTTTTTAAAAAATTCCCAGTTTAGGGAGTAGCACTGCAGATAAGGAGAAGCTGGCACCCTTGGCTTAATTTAATCTGGACCATACAGTATATGAAAATGTAATGTTCCTTTTGAAGTATTTTGTAACAATATTCTAGAATAAGAGATTGGCAAAGTTTTTTGGGTAAAGGGCCAGCCGTAGATATTTTGGGCTTCGCTGGCCACATACATTTCTGTCACTGCTGCTGCTGCTTCTTTTTACAACTATACAGCCAATTCTGTAATAATGTAAAAATCATTTTAGCTCAGGTTGCCAGACCAAAATGTTTTAATGTAAGCGGAGAATAGTTTATTTTTTACAGGAATGTTAAAAAAAAAATAACAAAAACAAAGAAGAATAAGTAACACACACTGTATGTGGCCTGCAAAGCCTAAAGTATTAACTATTTGAAATTTTACTAGAGAAAAGATATTTACTACATAAAAAGAGGGTGGCTGACCTCTATTCTAGAGAATCACAAGATAAGGTATTATTCGAAAAAATTTATTCCTCTATTCTCATTTTTTTCTAGTCCACAGAGCTAGTTTGTTTTTTTCAAAACAACAACACATAATCATCTCAGAGAATGCAGAAAAAGCATTTGACATTTGACAAAATCCAACATTCATTCCTGATTAAAAACTTTCAAACCAGTAGGAGAAGAGAACTTCTTAATCTGATAAAGAACACCTAAAAAAATCCATAGCTAACATCATATTTAATTACTAAAGACTAAGTTCAGGAAGAATAAAAACATGTTCCATCTCATCATTTCTATTCAACACTGCACTGGAGGTTCTAACCAGCGCAATAAGGCAAGAAAAAGAAAAGGCATCCAGTTTGGAAAGGAAATAAAACTGTTTTTATTCACAGATGGTAGGATTGCCTATATAGAAAATCTAATGAGTCTTCAAAAAAACTACTAGAACTAATAAATGAGTTCAGCAAATTTGCAAGATACAAGATCAACATGCAAAACTCAACTGTTTTTGTAAATACCAGCAACAAAGAATCAGAAATTGAAATTTAAAAAAAATGCCATTTACAATAACATTAAGAAATATGAACTACTTAGGATAAATCCAACAAAAGATGTACAAGACCTGTACCTGAAACTACAAAACATTGCTGAAAGAAATTAATGAAGATCTAACTAAACGAAGAGCTATTCATAATTCATAAGACTCAGTAATTCATAAGGGGGTCATAATTCAGAAGACTCAGTATTAAGGTGGCAATTCTCCTAAAACTGAGCTATAGGTTCAATGTTATCCTAATAAAAGTCCCAGCAAGTATTTTTGAAGAAATTGACAAGCTTATTCTAAAATTCATATGGAAATGCAAAGGACCTAGAATAGCCAAGACAACTTAGAAAAAAGAAGTCAGAAGACTAATACTGTCTGATTTCAAGACTTCTTATAAAGCTACAGTAATCAAAATAGTGTGACATTGGCATAAAGATCAACAAATTAATCAATGCAACACAATAGAAAGTCCAGAAATAGAACCATATATATGTGGACAAATGATCTCTGACAAAAGTTGCAAAGTAGTAGAGAAACAACAGTCTTCTTAATGGTGTTGGTACAATCAGATATCCACACGCAAAGTTAACTTTGTGCCATACTTTGAAATATCTACAAATTTTTGTACCATATGCAAAAATTAATTAAAAATGGGTCATAAGCCTTATGTAAAATCTAAAACTATAAAATTTCTAGATGAAAGCAGAAGAAACTTTTGTGACCTTGAGTTAGGCAACAATTTTTCAGACACTACACCAAAAACACAATTCATAAGAGAACAAGCTGATGAACTTATAAAATTATAAATTTTATAATTTAAAAAATATAAATTTTTGCTCTTTAAAAGATACTGTTAAATGGAAAGACAAGTCACATACTGGGAGAAAATAGATGCATACGATATATCTGATAAAGTCCTTATAGTTAGAATATAAAAAGAACTCTTAAAACTCAGTAATAAAAACTAGAGAGGGGGCAACAGAGTTGAAGACACTTCACCAAAGAAAATATGGGAATGACAAATAAACACAAGATAAGATGCTCAACATCACTAGCCACCAGGGAATTGCACATTTAAACCACAATGAGACATCTCTAAACCTATAAGAGTGGGTAAAATTAAAAAGACCACGTCAAGTGTTGGTGAGGATAGAACACTCATACACTGGCAGTGGGAATGTAAAATGGTACCATGACTTTAGAGAACAGTTTGGTAGTTTCTTTGGCGGTTAAATATACACCTACCATATGATGAGCCAGCCAGTCATTCCACACACACAGATAGCCTCAACCAAGTTTAAAAAAAACACAAATAATGAATCCTAATGTCAACTATGGATTTTGCTTAATAATGCATCAATAGTAGTTTAAAAAAATAAAGTTTTTTTGCTTAAAATTTATCATGTGTGGGTGGGGATTCCAATACACCCTAAAGTACAGATATGAGGTTCTCTTAACCCCTCCAAACAGCCTTGCCATCCCTATGACTTACTTGTGTCTTGAGGCATTTGTAGGGCAGCATTTTCCTGAAGTAGCCACGCCACCTGATGTGGAAAGCAGGAAGACTCCAGGCATTTGCTCCTGCGAGAACTGGAAATTCTGTGAGTGCAGGGAAGATGACATGTCTGTTCACTGAGGGATGGCTTGTCTTCTGTCAAGTCAGCCCCAGGGTGAAAGGTGGAGGTTGAGTCTCTGGTCTCCAGAGTCTTGGATCTTAAGAAGTAGACCATCTGCTCTCTTCCTGCCGTGATTACCCTGGCTCTTCACCTCAGCAGGCTCACGTCTCCCATGTTTATGAAGGATGGGGCTCCTCGGATGCTCTGCCCCTCCTCCTCACTCTGACTCTCCCTCTTTTTCCTCCTACACAAAGCCTGGATAGTGTCTGCCACAGCAGGGCTCCATCCCAGTCCAGCTTTTATCTCACTTGCCTGCAGAATTCAAATCCGGAACTTTGGAAATCTTCAGGGTCAAATCTCTCACTTCACAAATGAGGTAACAGACTCCATGAGGTAAGGTAACTTTTTTAGGTCCAC